TTTATCTGAAGTCCTCCTTCCTCTACATGCATTCAAAATACAGAATTTAGACAGTATTTCCAAGCTTCAAAAGGCAGAGTGCACGGATCTGATCTCACACACTGCAGAGTATAGAGCAGGGAGCTGAGTGTAATCTGAGATTTGAGTGAAGAAAAAGGACACACACCCCTCTACGCAGTCTCAGGCTGTCAATCACCTGCTGTGTGCTGGAGAGGGGGCAGGGCCATTTCCCAGGATTTTCTTGTGCCTAATCTCTCTCTGTGGCTATTGTATTCTGAAAGCCAGTGTCGGCTGTCAGAATATCCCAACAGTGCTTTAATCTAATTTGTTGAAGGAGCTGTTAGCCTGACAATTTTCATGATGGCCCTTTTGATTTTGTAATTGAAGGATAAGAGTGGTGCTGAGAGGGCCACTCACTAATTGAATTTCAGATAGTTCAATAAGATGTTATAAAATGTTTATTATTTGTTATATTGAAAACCTATTATTAAAACCTGAATAAAAGTCTGAAACAGAACTGAATTTCAGCTTCATTTTTAAAGTTAGGAAACTAGGGATACTCTTTTATTTTTGGATTCGACTTAGAAACTCAACTGTGACTTGGCTTTTGATTACATGGAAAGAAATCAATGGTAAGGTGTAATGGTGGACACACAGGGGGCAGGTTTCAAACATCTTTAACCACTGTCAATTAACTTTGAATTGCATAAGCGATCAGACAGATTAATTAAATTTACCACAGTTTACTGACACTGCAAAGTGATCTAAAGAGGTGGTGACAGGCTGCCTTGGTCCATTCAATTCTTTTCACAATTGAAATATTCTTAAGTGGATGAAATAGTTTAAAAATTGCTGTGAGTGTGTATAACATAAGAGTTAATTTATTAGATAATTATGGGTTGGACAGATTGTTGTAAGAAAACTGCAAGGTTTTACTTTAGTTTTTTTTTTTAAGTGATATGGTTTATATTTGTTCTTTACTATATCTATATGCACAATGTCTGACAATTGCACATTTGATACACAACAAAGGATTCACAGAGCACTTTGGGTTAGCTAAGTAGAAGCCAGCCTTTGTCTCATTTTGTCTAACTAAAACTTCAGACGCAGTAGTCCAAATAAGGAGTGAACTACTGAACAGGCATCCACTTCTAAATGTGCACAACAGGCATCAGAAAAAGTGAGAGCCCTGGTAACAGGAAAATATACCTATAGCTTAACCTGCTAGCTCAAAAGGAAAATTCAAATGTTGTGGGGCATAATTTATAGAAAAAAACCTATTGCAGTATTTTGAAGCAGCTTGTGCTTTCTATGGCTCATTACTTGACTGGGTGATGGGTGTGTCCGGCCTAAACATTTGAAAAGATTTCTGCCCTCCTCTTAGGGGGATATTCTTGGGGAATGTAATAATTGAAGGGGGCAGTGCATTGTGCTGAGGTGATGCAGAAAGAAACATACTGTGGGATTTATGCCTTGAGCCTACACAGAGGAGGAACATATCTTGTAATCATCAGCTCAGTGGTCGCAGATACATTTGGATCTTTGGGTCTGGAATCTCACTTTTTTTGTGATTGTTGACAACAAACTGTTAATGTGAAAAAAATGTATATTTACTCGGCTAATTAAAAGAGGGAAATATTTTCAAAAATGTATTTTTTGTCAATTCTGACCTTAAAGTCAGGCATTTTTTACCTTAACCTATGACCTGCATTAAGGTAATACAATATCCCACTACTTGTCCCTCCCTCCCCCCTTTCAACACTTCCCTGAGTTTTCTCTCTATCCAGAGTTGTCCTGCCTTCAGCAGCAATGCTGCCTCTTCCTCTTCTCACAGGACTCAAAGCCAGCAGTAGGGGCCATAGGCTCCTGTATCTGTCAGTCAAATTGTGTAAGGAGGAAGTGGGGGCTGTGGCCAGGCCGAGCTGTGTTTGTCTATGGATGCATACAGCCCAGCTTGGGAGTATGCCTGCATAAGTGCCCGCTCTGCACATGGTCTGATGAGGGGGCACTTGGAGACGAGGAGGAGCAGATAGCAGCGGCAGGGGGCCCCATAAAAAGAGGTATGAGACTGTTGTCTGCAATACCATTACACAGAGCAGGTAAGTATAAACTTCTTTTATATTTTAGAAAAAAATGATCTTTAGAGCCACTTCATTAAGGAAAGTACTTACAAAACCCATATACATTCTTTTTAATATAATGAACAAGTATGCAAAGGGTAACTAAAGGATCTCTGCAATCGTGTTATGTCTATACATCATAGTCTAGGCCTTGTAGTTAAAATGATTGTAAACTCTCACCTTGTAAAATAACCCATTCAGTTTAAAAGAGAAATGAAAAGTCAAGACATATGTGTATAGATATAAAAATCATTATTAATACCATTTTTTTAATAGGAAATCACATTCCCTCTGTTCTCAGGGGAGGAGCAACAAAATCACACTGATCTTCACAGTGAAAGGCTTTGCGTGTGTGTGTTTGTTGGGGGGGGGGGGGGGGGTTAGAACAAGTCTGATCATTGGAGGAGAGCACACTGAATTCCCAGCACAGCCAGAGAACTGACCACACTGTGTTCTCCTGCTTACTGTGGTCAGTTTTTAATAGGAAAGCAGAGGGACTGGCAGGAACACCAGGAATTTCACGCAAAGGAAGCAATACAAAGAGAACAGTATACTTTTTCATACAATTACATGGTACAGCAGGCACATGTCAGAAATATGAATTGTTGGGTTTTCATATTCTATAACAAATATGTGAAATAAAAAAATGACAGCATCTGTGCCAAATGCAGTCATGTGTTCATATGCATTCTTTTTTCTATGCTAAAAAAATAACATATGGTGGCTCACGCAACAAGTTCATTTTATCAGTAAATATATGACATTTAATACATTCCTAAATGACGCATGATGACGAGCGCATTGTCACTTCCAGAGCTGTCCCACAAGAAATAAACCCCAAGGAGCAGCCCTACTGAGGTCAGTGCTACGAGTAGTGAATCAGACTCTACATCTCTGAATCCATAAGGACAAGGCCCTAAGACAGCCTCCAAGGTACCAATGTGAAATGTCTGCTGTTCTGAGACAGAGAATGACAGATTTCATTACACCCCCATTTTATAACGTCTCTGGGCAAGCATCAGTCTGGCAGTGAAGCATGATGTGCCTCACTGTAAAAAAGGATATCAAGACATCAAAAGTAGTCTTAAAAGAAGATCTCACTATAAAGAATATAAAGGTAAGCAGCCTAGTAATAAAGCTCAAATATCATACCTGCAATTCTATGTTCCCTATACACTCAATGGCTAGCATACACATGATATCTTTTCTAATAATGATATGGTAGAAATACTTTAACAAAAAAAAAAAACTTCTACAAATAGTCCCGTTTTTACGCAAATCCTTCCTCCTTACTGAGATGCTCATTTTTACAGCAAAATGCAATTTTCCCTTTTGTCAGTAAACAAAGAATGATTCAGAAAAATATTTGCATAAGCAATTTACATGTTTATAAGCTTGCAAAAAAAATGCATAAAAAAGTATTTGTTGGCAAATCTGCATTTAAGTTGGTGTGAAAAAAAAATATTAGTGAATTATTCAAGAAAGCCGCTCAGCAGATAAGCAAATAATAATTATCCAGCATGAGAAGTCACAGAAACCTTTCAAGTTTTGTGTACATCAAGCTCTGAAATCTGATTGGTTCCTACAGGCAATGCAGACACTTCACAAGGCATAGTTCACCTTTACTAAACAAACTGCCGATGCAGATAAGAGACATCTGTAGATTAAAGCAAACTATGCATCTTTGACCAAAGTTGAATAATGCCCTTGCTCTAGGTATAGGTCTTTTATGAACCTCATGAAGCCTGACTCCCAGGACATTGCTAAGGATGGTACTAAGGGAGGCCCAGCTGTTACTGTTCACCTTCACTATCACAGGAGTGAGCTCAAACCCTCTCACATGTGCTTGATGCAGTAGATCTGAACTCAGCATTTGAGAGCTCACTCCTGTGATGGTGGAGGTGAACAGTAACAAATGGGCCTCTCTTGTCCTCTGAGTTTCTCCATCTAGCATCATGAGGAACGTAAATGGCCTATACCTATACTGCCGATGCAGATAAGAGACATCTGTAGATTAAAGCAAACTATGCATCTTTGACCAAAGTTGAATAATGCCCTTGCTCTAGGTATAGGTCTTTTATGAACTCATGAAGCCTGACTCCCAGGACATTGCTAAGGATGGTGTTAAGGGAGGCCCAGCTGTTACTGTTCACCTTCACTATCACAGGAGTGAGCTCAAACCCTCTCACATGTGCCTGATGCAGTAGATCTGAGCTCAGCATTTGAGAGCTCACTCCTGTGATGGTGGAGGTGAACAGTAACAAATGGGCCTCTCTTGTCCTCTGAGTTTCTCCATCTAGCATCATGAGGAACGTAAATGGCCTATACCTATACTGCCGATGCAGATAAGAGACATCTGTAGATTAAAGCAAACTATGCATCTTTGACCAAAGTTGAATAATGCCCTTGCTCTAGGTATAGGTCTTTTATGAACATCATGAAGCCTGACTCCCAGGACATTGCTAAGGATGGTGCTATGGGAGGCCCAGCTGTTACTTTTCACCTTCACTATCACAGGAGTGAGCTCAAACCCTCTTACATGTGCCTGATGCAGTTGATCTGAGCTCAGCATTTGAGAGCTCACTCCTGTGATGGTGGAGGTGAACAGTAACAGATGGGCCTCTCTTGTCCTCTGAGTTTTTCCATCTAGCATCATGAAGAATGTAAATGGCCTATACCTATAGCCAAGGAATCATTCAATTTTAGTCAAAACTGCACATCTTGTTTCTATCTACAGATGCCCCTTATCTGCATAGGTAGTTTTTTAGTTAACCCTCTAAGATATGAGGTATCACATCCCTCTTCTAGGTCCTGCACAATACCATCTCCAGCTATTATCTGTGTACTGTGATCGTTTTTATAGATTAAGCTGACACCTACCAGAGACTTCCAGTGGCACAGTGTCTTGCTCATCTTCAATGCCCAAAACAATCTCACAGCGGTACATCCCTGAGTCACTGGCATGAGCATTGGACAAGACCAGTGTGGCATTATAACGGTTGTGGGGGTATCCAGGCAGAGATACTCTTCCCTCGTAACCACGAACGACTTTGACCACATTTTCACGGGCCACCAAAACAGCTATTTCCTTTTCTCCTTGATTGGGCTGAAGTTTGCTCCACTTAATGCGTGGTGATTCTGAGGTGACATTGAAAGCCTGTGGGTTTTGGGGAGGGGCGAACCACAAAAAGGCAAGGGAGGGCCACAGACTGGGCCAGTCCGCATTGCACAAGGCCATGTTGATGTCTGTGGATATGCAGAGGTTTTACATTCTCTTCAGCATCTAGGAACAAAGCACATATGTTATATATGTTTATATATGAATGTGTTTAGTTACACATTATTATCCATATAATGAAATTATTCTACATAGCCATGGGGTGCGGATTTACAAATGAGAGTTGAAGTGCCATTGACTGCAAAACCATTTTTCCTGTGACATTCTACAGCTGCTTTTGCATTTCAAACATATAAAGCAAGAATCTAATATTCATTAATCCCATTTTAGTAAGTACAAAGCTATGCAGTTGTTGAACAGTATGGTAAGCTGAGTGAAGGGCACACTTTTTTATTGATCATTGGTGACTTGATGTAGATATATGCATAATATCAAAAAGACTCATGCAGTAGGTACGCGTTAACCATTGGTTGGACGTTTTATAGTGGAAAAAGTCCTTTTTATTTATTTATTTTTTATAAAAAGGGGGTGGGTTCATTAGGTTTTTATTTTTTTAGTTTTTTTCTCAATAGATTTTTATGAAGATTTTAAAGCAGGACAACAAAACATACGATTTTGTAGTTTACATGAAATAGTAAATAAGTATTAACATGAATGAGACAGAAGTATCAACAGCTTTAGGAGTCAAATATTGGTTACCATTATCAACAAATGTATTCTGTGTATATACAGTACATAATAATTATATTATAATTATGTAGCATGTTGATGGCTTAAGTAGTAACATTGTTCATTCCCCCAAATTTAGTAGCACAGATATGAGTGTATGAAGTAAGTCGTAATCTATACATATAGTCATCTAATTGTTGTCATATCCATAGCATCAGGGCTCCATTGTTTTAGTATATCAGTTACATAACAAGTATTTATTACAAAATCAAAATGAGTTGGCATCAGGGATGCCTAAACTGGAATTGCATCAGAACAAATATCGGGATGAAAGAGAAAAGGAAATAGAAGATGAGAAGGAGTCTACAGATAAAGAATTCACTAGTGGGTGAAGGTTTTTATTTTTGTATGTGGCTTCACCACTGGTAAGGGTCTCCCCCACTTCCTGTGACATAAGTTTCATTCATCATAACTGGAGGTGATTGAAAATATCCTGATGGCAACTGTAATTATGGGGAGATTTTCTCTAACTTCCTGTTGTGTCACAATAGGAAAGATGACTGCATATGATGGCATATGGATACCTGACAGACATTCTTTCCCTTCTAATGTCTATCCAAAACAAAACATAATCACCTTTTTTTGCTGTAGTCCACATTTAATTCACTGGTATAGTCTAAGGGTCTATTCACACGGGGTGGACCCGTTCAGCAGATCCGCTTGCTCAGTGGAGGAACTCTCTGCTGATCCCCACTGAGCAAGCGAATGACAGCTCTGTGTCTGCTCCGTTGCTGGAGGGCAGACACAGAGCTGCTTGCTCTCCTCAGTGGGCTGTCGGATGAAAACGGGCCGCCTGTCCATTTTCATCCAACCCGATCCAACGGACGGAAGGGGAATTGGATTCCCATCCATCCCTTTTGGGTGGATCGGTTATCGGCGGGTGTAAATGTACACATGTCCGTTTACACCTGCCGCTCCATAGAGGAAAATGGAAGTTCCGATCGTGTCCGCCTGAAAAATGGGTCCATGTGAAAGAGCCCTTAAAATGAAGTAAAACGTGTGGGCAAGAAAAAATTACAATGCAGCCCAAGACATTGCAGAGCTCTGATGATTATAAATATAATTCTTTGCATACGAAAGACAATATATGTAGAGGGAGCTTTTGCTCTGTCCTAAGAATTAATAGTTGGGTGGCATCTGGTTCTAAGGCACATTTCAGGTTTTTTTTTTATAAATCTCTAGGACAAAACAAAAATAGAAAAAACAGCAGAAATTTCTGCACTACTTTCATGCTGCACCTACAACTCTCTATAGAGAAGGCTTCATTTAATAGATCTGGTCTTGCCTGTATACTTTGTTCTTAAATAGTGAGAATATAGGTGGCAACTCAATCTCTTCCACTGGCACTGAAATCGACCTCAGCCTTGCACATGTTCCTATCCTGCACAGAAATTGCCTGCCTCTGCAAGAAACTTCCAGAAATATGGTAGGAGGGTTAGCCACTTGGTTATGAATATTTATTTGATCTCAGACCTGGGACATATGGCCTGAAAGCATGGCTGGGAGTAAATAAATGTTTGGGAGGGTCTGTTCACAAGGTTTCTCCTTGGAGGCAGCCTGTGTTACTGAAGAGCTGTTGCTATTAGGCCTCTGCAGGTGCTTGGATTAGGGCCTGAAGGGAACTGGACTAAAAAAAAAATTTGCTGGAGGATACTAGCTTAGGAAGTTGAGCTTGAGAAGGACCCCTTTCACTGAAGAGTGTCACAGGGAAGCTAGCTGGGGAAAAAAGGGGAAGGGGTAGCCACCTAACATGACACGTAAATATGTGTCATATAAATATCTCTGTCTCACTAATGATTAGTGTGGATTTATAAACCCAAATGCTTAACATAAAACATAGCAGTATGACAAGTGCAATACTGCTCACACAGAGTGGTTATTAGAAAATCCAAGCGGAGTAATATAATAAGTATTAACAAACAAGTTTTATTCGATCACATGGATCATACTGAGGTTAGACAGAGACATGGTAAACAAATCTTTATAAAATCAATGAATTAAAAACATTCAGCGTCTCCAGATCTAATAGTATTCGGCAATCAGGAATCCACATAAGGCAATGAAGTTCCTAACTACTAGATCAAAGGATTTCCATATTTTCCATATAATATCTGCATGAGGGGAACATTCTTCAAAAAATGTTTTGGTGACCACCACAGTAATAGAATGACTTCCTTCTCATAAACTTGACCATCATGAAAGGATGGATATATGGCCTTCCTGGATAGCCACCCCAAATGGAAATGTATCCACAGTAGTAAGTGATTCATACAAAAGATCAAGGCGACTCCTCCTCACTTGAAATAAGATCAGGTCTGGATGAAAAAGTGAATATGGGGGTGGGCAGCCAGGTAGTTGATATGTAAAGTCCAGACTGGTTGATACAGTCTATGTATATATGAATATATAGACCCAAATCTGGGTTTCCAAACATTTCTCAGTAGTGAGAAAGTAATGCGGTTCCTTAAAAATATGTATGAGACTGTAGAAGCATGCCACAGCACATATAAAGCATAGTATACAGATATTCCTCCAATAGGAGTTCAAAAAATTCCCCCAAATGAGGTAAATAGGCACAGGGTTTCCAAAAATGTGAGGGTATGTAACCCGTTTATATTGATAGCACTAAAGCCTAATTTAGCCTAACGCTATAAACTTGCCACCGGTGGCAGTAGGCTGTGACTCAGAGTTGCCATGTGCGATCTGCTTTGGATGATATCCTCATCATAATTAGAGTGTCTCCTGCCTTTCCAGTGTGGAGCTGAAGCAAACCGCTTCTTCCTTCCTCGTGGGCACTGCGCCCTATGGAGACGCCGAGCGTAATGATGTCATCACGTTGACGCGTTTCGTCCGCCAATCACCGCAGACTTCGTCAGAACTATCTGATTATTAACTATTTGATCTTTTGTATGAATCACTTACTACTGTGGATACATTTCCATTTGGGGTGGCTATCCAGGAAGGCCATATATCCATCCTTTCATGATTGTCAAGTTTATGAGAAGGAGGTCATTCTATTCACTGTGGTGGTCACCAAAACATTTTTTGAAGAATGTTCCCCTCATGCAGATATTATATGGAAAATATGGAAATCCTTTGATCTAGTAGTTAGGAACTTCATTGCCTTATGTGGATTCCTGATTGCCGAATACTATTAGATCTGGAGATGCCGAATGTTTTTAATTCAGTGATTTTATAAAGATTTGTTTACCATGTCTCTGTCTAACCTCAGTATGATCCATGTGATCGAATAAAACTTGTTTGTTAATACTTATTATATTACTCCGCTTGGATTTTCTAATAACCACTCTGTGTGAGCAGTATTGCACTTGTCATACTGCTATGTTTTATGTTAAGCTAGCTGGGGAGCTGTCTCCGGACATTGTGAGTAGGACTTTTTGCCTAGAGCTCCAGGTAGGCCTGTGCTTTGAAGGTTGGACAACTTGCTACAAGGACATGACTGCTCTTACAGAGTCTCAGACTAGCTGGCTGTTCCCTCTGCTTCAAGGAATACTTAAGGCTGCTACTGAATGACTTTGCCTGAGAATCTGGCCTCTAAGGCCTGTGTGTGTTTTGGAGCATCCTGCAGACTCATCTCTCTAACCACCTATGTTCATGCACTACAATTTGAAGTAATAATTTCAAATAGTCACCCGTAGGCTGAGTTTGTGTTTGTTGGTGTGCTTTGGAACTGGTATCTGGGCCTGGTAACCTCTGAACAGCTAGGGGAAACCTGGATTTTTTCCAGGGTCCCCTCAAGGGGTTAGCGCTACATAATTATTATGTTTTATGCCATGCATATTGTTACTTAATAAATCTATTTTCCTTTACAATCACTTTAACGGCTATGGTATGAACATGATGGTTGTGTTGAAGTTTTTATTTTGCTAAAGGCACTGGAGTTAGGTAGGCTTTATGAAGCACATATAGTTTAGTAAGCTTATCCAAGGCCTTAAGGAATATCAGCCAATGGGCTGAAAAGGCCTCATCACATTCATTGTTATCCAGTGGGCTAACAGCAGGCACCATGGTTGCCTTTCAGGTAGACACCACCAATCTGGAATGCAGAACAAGGAGCATTTGAGGGTTGAGATTAGTTTAGAATGGGGTGAACTCAACAGGACCTCATAAAAGGGAATATTTGTAAGGTTATCAATATAAGTGCAGAACTGAGTTGGGGCAGCATGCCTAAACTACAGGTAGCAAAAGAACATATTGTTATGGAGTTGGAATTCTGTTATTCAGCTGTATAAAAGTTTTTTAATTCTACCATTTTGCAAGATGTGGCCTGTAAGCTTGTGGGGTAGTAGACAGGTGACACTTCCTCCATG